TATGTGGGTTTTTATTTAAATAAAGAAAAAATGCCACATGTAAAAACAAAAATGCCATCTCGTCAAATAACGTTACGTGGATTTTCCATGTAATTATTAATTTTTTTAAAATGTAATTTTGTGGCAAGATAACGTGCCACTTGTCATTTAACTTACGGAAGGATCATTTTGGTACCGAAAATGAAAGTTTGAGGATAATTTTGGTACTTTTTAAAGATGAGGGACAATTTTGGTACTAAAGTGGATAGTTGAAGGACCAAAATGGTACTTAAACCTTTCTTTTATTTACTCCATTTCAGCCATAGTTCAACATGCACAATATAAAACAAAGACTAAAACGTTATCTCATTCAACAAGATGAAACACCTTATCACTTGGTTTTTAGAATCGAAACAATCATTCCTATTAAGATAGGAGTCTCGAGCTTATGGGTCAACCATTTCAATGAGACATGAAATGGACAACTACTTTAAGAGAACTTAAACTTACTTAATGAAGTCTGAGAAGAGGCTCAACTTCAGACTTTATCTTGCAAATAGAAGTTGGCTAGTTGGCTAACTTCTGCAACAAATGAGTTTGCCCTTGAGCTTTCAAGGTCGAAGACCTAGTACTTAAGAAGGAGGGGCTTACTAGGTTTAAAACTCGTTTTGGTTAGCTTGCCCTAAATTGGGAAAGCCCTTACACTATCATCAAGATTCCTCACCTAGGCACCTATATACTTCAAGATGTCGAGGGAAAAAGAGTTCCTAGAGTTTGGAATGTAAACAACATGAAGAAATTTTTCCTTAAACTTCGATCAATTCAATTTCTTTAAATTCGTCATTTAGCTCACTCCTTAGTACTTATTTGTTGATTTATGAAATTAGAATTTCATTTTGTACTTCCAGCTTACCTTTAAATACATCCAAACTTAATAAGTTGATTGTTACCTTGGTTTTAGAAATACTTGTACTACTATTAATTTAGATTGGTATACTTAATCAAGTAGGTATCAATTATTAAAAATCAAACAAAAGAATTGAGTTAGCAAACATACATTAAAAATTAAAATGTTGAATTCAAAATTTTATATCAATTTCCATAATGGCCACAATACAAAGTCAATTAAAAAACTATAAGACAATGAAGATGTGTTCATTCAATAAGTTGTTGTTGATCCACTTCGTCATTCTACACATTATTTCCCATTTCAGGATCTCCAACAATCTCTTCCTCGTCATCATCTATAGTGACAAACTTGAAGTAGAAGTTCAAAGAGAAAATGGTGTGACCTTCATTATCTCAATCCCACTTACGTGTGACTTTGGGCTGAAAATCAATTGTTTTACTCTCACCATTCTCCTCCACCTCTTCTTTTTGAAGTCCAAAGGTGATGCTTGTTACATCCACTTTGGGGTGTTAAGCCTTCACCTTTTTTCTACAATCGTTGAAGATCAATACCATTATTAGAAGTCGATTGAGATCCACTATGTTTAAGAATGTGCTAGATTTGACGAAATTAGAAATGTGCTTCTCTATGGAGTTATGGATCCATAACTCAACATCACATTCCATTTCTTTTAACCTTTTCCCTTATCTTAGTTATCTCATTATCCCTTTTGGACAATTCCTCCTCACAAAATTTTCTTTTTTGCTCGGTTTATTAGCCTTCTTCATAATCTCTAATTCACCTCGAAGTTTGTCAAGCTTCGAGGTCAAACTCTTGATATTCTTCTTAGCCTCTTTCTTTTGCTTGCCCAACTCCTATTTTTTCTTCAATAATTTCTCCTTATCCCATAGAGACTCCATATACTTATTCATTAAGCATTGGCAAGATTTGTACACTACCTTAAACATTGAAGTCAAAAATAAAAAAATGATGAAATGTAACTCATAAATCTCTTACCTCAAGTATGTGGTGAACTAGGTTACCTCCATCAGACACCTCCACCTGGGCCCTGGCCTGATCTAAGTCAATGTCCAAAAAAGTGGCATCAATGAAACGTTTGCAGTTGTCTTACTAGTTAGGTCAGTGAAGGCATAGCCCTTAAGATACCAAGCTCAAGGTGGAATAAATATCTTCCTCCTTCCATGAGTTATAACTTTAGCCTCCCTGCCATAGGACCAATATTCACCTTGGTAGGACGGGGTATAAACTCTAGCACATCTTATTAAGAGGGTGTTTGGTGCAAATTGTGAAAAGAGCTTTTCGGCTCTAAAAGCACAAGCTTCACCAAACGGGTCAACTTCTCAAATGGCTGCAGCTTTCTAGAAGCTCACCTTCTTATCGTTCCTTTGCAAAGCCCCAAAGCACTAATTTCTTACTTCCGCGGGAGCTTCTCGCTTCATGTTTAATGAAATTGACATAGCATTCCCATTTTGTCCTCATACTTCCTTTTATTTACAAAAAAACCACTATATAAAGGTTCATTTTATACCTCCTCTTTCTTTCCCTTGTCTTTCTTTCTTTGTCTTTGAAGTAGCCGAACGAGCCTTGTTCTCCCTCCCTTCTTGCCCACCTTCTTCCAAAGCAGATTGGAAATATAAAAGCATCTTAGTCACCGGCCTTCTTTCTCCCTAACTACTTCAAAGCAGAAAAGCCCATTTCCCTTCATCAGAAAATCCCCATCGAAAAATCCCCACCAAAATCCCATTTTTCCTCCTTTTGTGAGTCTCCTTCCTTTTCTCTGATTTTTTTTCCTTTTTTGGTGTTTCTGCTACCAATTTGGTGGTGATGAATGATGATTGTTGCTTGGTAGTGTGAGTTGGTGAAAGTTTTAATTTTTAATCCCTTGTTGTTCCTTCTCTTCTTGCAAATCTGGGCGACGCGACGAAGCAGCATAGGTCGGTGAAGCCAAATGAAGCGGCAATATAAGAGGGGAGTGAAGCGGCAATATAAGAGGGGAGTGAAGCGGAGGGTGTTCCAGCCATGGGACTTTGGATTCTTGAAGCATTTTGGGAGCAAGTACGAGCTCGGAGAAGAGGTTGGGAGAGCCCATTTTGGTTATACCTGCTTAGCCAAGTTCAAGAAAGGGGAACTCAAGGGACAACAAGTTGCTGTTAAGGTTATACCCAAAGTGAAGGTAGGTTTATAGTTCATTATTTTGGGTGCTTACTGCTTAGTATATGCTTATTTCTTGGTTCGACTATATGTTTCTGATAGTATAGAGATGAGATCTACTAGTAAACCTTTGCTTTTATCAGTCTTGTACCATGATCAGTTTGCTTGATTGCATTTATTAATATGCAAGAATGGATTGTGTATTGAATTATTGGTGGCGAAATTTTTTGAATTGGGGGCCTTGGATTGGAGATGTAGTTGTAGTATGTGTTGATTTGCCTTTTTTTTCTCAAGATAAAAGTTGATCTTTCTTTTTAGTCTTTTGGGGGAGGGGGAATTGTGCCATTCCATTGTCTTCCTTTTTATTTTCCAACAATTTTTTTTTCTTTTTAAGACATTAAAGTATCCTTGACTGAATTCTGGATTCGGGTTCTATGAACTTCTTCTTTAGGCTTTTATACTTTTTTGGTGGGTTACCTTGATCAGCTTCATTCCAAAACATGAATCCTCTTGGAGATCAATGATTGATTAATAATTATAAATATATGTTATAATTGCATTTGTTACAAAAGGTGAATCAATGATTGTGAATTATTATAAGAAATCACGTGAAACTAGCATTTGGAGTTTCTATAGAAATGCTTAACAACTTGACAACATGTCTTTGATGATACCTCTTTGTCATTGTCGTTATTTTTCAATCTTCCATGTTGCATTCTATTTTATGGTTACTAATGATGCAAACGTATTCCCATTCGTTAATGTCATTGAGATTGATTGGTGGTTTTGGTGAAAAAAAAAAAAAAACTACCCATAATTTTTATTTAAAAAGAAGCTGAAGTTTTGTTGCTAGTTGTTGAAATAAAAATAATTCAACCTTTTATTTCTTTATATTAACTTGTACGTAGATGAAATTATAATACTTCTTACTAGCTTTAGTTCTAGTATAAAAATTATAATGAGGTGACACTGTATCCCATATCCATCAATTTATATCCTCCTAGAAAATTGTTGGTGATGACTGGTGAAAGAGAAACCTTTTATTATGTTCAAATGGTAGTGTTTTTTTAAGAAGAAAAAACTTCTTAGATAGTGATAGTCTAGACAGACACTTAGAAGTGTGAAGGGGAGAGACAGAGTGTTTCTATTCTTTATTGCATCCTTAGATTTAAAACCCTTTTCTTTTTGTGTTGAACATAGAATTATTTTTATAAATTTTACTATCTCAGCAGAATCTCCTTTCTCACTCTTCACATTGCCTCCTTTTCTAATAGAAAAACCTTGTTCTATGACTGTGGTAAGAGATGAGGGGTCCTTTAGGGGCAGTCATAGGGAGGTATCCATCAAGTGATGGGAGTACCCAACTGAGAGGAATCATAAGCCACAACAGGAAATGTAAAGATGTTGCATTTCTTGTTATCTTTATAGCATTTTGGGTTGCTATGATTGTTAACTCTAGCTTTGGGTTCAACCAAGGAAACCCAAAAGGGTAGATTTTCTAGCATACCCAATGCATATATTTCTCTAATTTCCAAATGGGTGTCTTTTAGTTTTGTAGAGGTTAAGCAAGATGATGAGAACCCCAAAGAGAACAATGAGACCCACAGCACGACAAGGGATTTGTAAACTCCAGGAAAGCTAAATCAGGTTTATGATAGGACCTTGACCCGTTGTTTATGTCGCAACAAGAACCAAAGGTAAAAACCTTGACCCGTTGTCTATGACGCAACAAGAACCAGAGGTATAAAGTTGGTTGACGCCACACCCTTGAACGATTAAGAACAAGAATGATAAGTCAAGTTAAAACGCCACAAAAATAATCTTGATAAGTTCTGTAAAGTTCTGAAACGAACCAAAGAGAAAAGTCTCTCAAAAACTCAGATTCAATAATCTCCCCCATTAGGGTTACAAACCCTTTAAATAGAGAAAACAAATCCTAATCAGAATAGGAAATTAACACCCTAAGGCCTAAACCTAATAACCACGAATTGAGCTTCAAATAAGCAAATGTTCAGCCCAAAAATAATACAAAAAACGTGACAATCACTAAAATAACCTAAAATAACACGAAATATCAGTTTGCTACAAGTTGCAGCAGAATTGTGCGATTTTGACGCAAACTGTGTAATTCCATGCAAATGACCTCAACTAAGCTTCTCTTGAACCTGAATGATGTTTACCATGCCTTGATAATCATCCAAGCTTCGATTTGCTTGTTGTATGTTGTTTTCAACCCAGATATGCTCAATAAGGCCACTTAAAGCTTCATGCATCTTCTTAGCCCTAGCTCGCGTGACTGGACCTCCTTGGCTGTGTAACGGATCACATGACGTAGTCGATATGTTGTTGTCTTGATTCCCATCACAATTTGTTGTTTTTATAGTAGGTTTTAGTGTGTCTCAAACTTAATTGGGTTTTTTGTTTTGGCTCACTTACAATAATGTATGTAATGGTTTGTTTGTAAGTTTGGTTGACGTTAGGCATGATTAAAATTTTTAGGTTAATTTACACCTATAAAAGACTATTTTATAATTCTTCCTAGTTTTAGCATTCTGTTTTTGGTGTTATTATGTATATCCATACTTCCATTATTCAACATTTGTTTCTATGTGTTGTAGATCTTGTTTTAAGGCCAAAATTATTTGGTTAAATACCTTGTTTGGTCCCTCTACTATAGGAAAAAGCCCCCTTTTAGTCCCTATACTGAAAAAATCCCTTTTTTTATCCTTATTATTTGAAATTTGGCTCCTTTTTGATCCTTCCATTAAATTTTGGCTGATGTGGCAAGTTAATTAACGGAAAAACTTATTTTTTTCTTTATTTTAATTATGTGGAAAATCCACCTAGTACAACTTGATGACATGGCCAAATTTTTTTGTTTAATTTAACCTTAAAAATCATTTAATTACATAATTACCATTATAAATATTTTAAAAATTATTTTGTGATTAAAAATACTTACCTTTAATTACTTATTTGCCCCCATCTTCTTCCCACTTTTGTCTTATCCTCTCTTGCCTCATCTTCTTCCCCCTTCTGTCCTATGCTGTTAGTTTGTCACGAACCTAGATTCGTCATGATGATCCAGTTCTTTGAATGATCAAATCAATAGTCAAAATTCAAACACGAAATCAAAATATTTCATACTTAGAATTAGTAGATGTAAGCTAAAATCTAATATAAAAACCAAGATACATAACAGAAGAGATTCGAATCTCCAACTGCAATACTCAAAATCATTCCTAAGAACGATCTAATCATCAAATGAAATTCAAAAGCTAAATCCACATCATTCATGTTTAGAGATAGTGAAAACCAAAAATGGAATACGAAATACAAAGTCCTAGCATTCAAACATAATCAATAGATGAAACCAGGAGCTGGGTTCGTTGCAAACCCAGCCTAGATCTTGGGTTCGTCATGAACCCAGCCTAGATCTTCGGTTCGTTTTGCGAACCCAGGTGCTGGGTTAGCATCACGAACCCACGTAAACCCAAGTGTTGGGTTCGCATCACAAACCCACGCGAACCTAGGCGCTAGGTTCGTGATGCGAACCCAAGCACTAGGTTCGTGACACAAACCCAGGCACTGGGTTAGCATCACAAACCCACGTGAACCTAGGCATGGGTTCGCGTCATGAACCCACGCAAACCCAGGTGCTGGGTTTCTCATCACGAACCCACGCAAACTCAGATGCTGGGTTTCTCATCACGAACCCAAGCAAACCCAGCATGAACCCAACGCTAGGTTTGCAAAGATCCTAACGAGATCTGAAAGGGAAAAAAAAAAAGGATAGAGGAAGGAAGAAGATGGGGGCAAATAAGTAATTAAAAATAAGTATTTTTAATCACAAAATAATCTTTAAAATATTTATAATGGCAATTATGTAATTAAATGATTTTTAAGGTTAAATTAAACAAAAAAACTTGGCCATGTCATCAAGTTGTACCAGGTGAATTTTCCACACAATTAAAATAAAGAAAAAAATAAGTTTTTCCGTTAGTTAACCTACCACATCAGCCAAAATTTAACGGAAGGACAAAAAAAGGGCCAGATTTTAAACAATAAGAATCAAAAAGGGGATTTTTTCGGTACAGGGACAAAAAATGGGCTTTTTCCTATAGTAGAGGGACCACAAAGGGTATTTAACCAAATTATTTCAATATATAAGATGGATGAAAAAAGGTCAAAGGCAATGTGGGATGCATTTACAACAAAAATTTTCTACGAGATATGTGTGGAAGAGGTCAATGCCAGTAATCGTCCTAATAGTACTTTTAATAGATTAGGGTGGACAAGTGTGGAAAAAAAATTTAATGAAAGAACAAATAAGCATTATATTTATAAACAACTAAGAAATCGGTGGGATGAATTAAATTGGGTTTTGTGGAATCAACTATTAAAGCGAGAAACAGGACTAGGGTGGAATCATGAAAAAGGCACAATTGATGCTACTCCTCAACGATAGGCTGAATTGAAAGCGGTTAGTTGTATTCTTTTATTGTTAAGAATATGGTAAATTTGAGCATCATGGATTAGAAAACACAGTGGAGTTGCAGCAAATGTTTGACAGAATAGTAGTCGCCGGTGAAACTGCATGGACTCCAGCTGCTGGGCCTATTCCTTTAGTACAACAGAATGTGGGGTTTGAAGATGCTATTGATTTAGAAGAAGGAAGTGGTGATTCTGATGAGGTGAATGTCATCCCAACACAAACTGGTGGAAGCTGTGAAAAAAGGAAGAAAACACAATTGGTCCTTCACTTACCGACAAAGGGATGAAAGTGAAATTAAGGGGTGCAGAATACATGCAAAGACAATTGAATCGTCTTTGTGATCTAGTTGAAAGTTATACCACAACTACTTTGAGTGATTCATCAAAGAAGAATTATGAAGCATATCCTGATAGCACTGAAGAATGTATGGAGATGTTGTTAACTTTACCTGGAGTTAAAGATGGTAATGAGCTTTTTATGTTAGGTACTCGTTTGTTTGTGAAACGAGAATATAGAAATATGTTTAGGAGTATAAAATCAATTAACTCAAAACTTTCTTGGCTACAGCAAGAGTTGGAAAGGGACAAGATAATGTTTGAGATGGAAAGGGAGAGATTCAGTGGTAGAAGGCATTACTACGATGTTTGTATTTGAGTTTTAAGTATTAAGATATTCGTAATGCTTGTATTTGAGATACAAAACTGTTTTCGAGATACAAAACTATTTTCTTTCTTATTTGTATTTTCGTTGTATGTGGACTAATGTTATGAATTTATGTCTTTTTCATAATGTTGTTGCTTAGAAATTGGACTGGTAATTTATAGTTCAAATAAGGATTCAATATGAATCCATGTTTAGATTATCACTTATCTTGAAATATTCAGTTTTATTTTTTTTTTGTTAATTTGTAAAAGTTAATAAAAAGTTAAAATAATATGATTCATACAATTTAAAAATTAATGATGTCCACATTATCTAAAAGGGAAGGGGCAATTTGCATAAGTTTTAAAATTAAAAATGTAGATTTTACATAAAAATAAGTTTTGGGTTAAATCATTACAATCAAAGAATTTTAGGGGCTAGTAAACTTTTTTACCTTTTATATCAAAAGTAGCAATGTGGACACCCGTGATGCAGAATCTCAATAGCTAAGGACAGAGGCATGCACTACCCAAGAGTTGATTTCAGTGCATGCATTGGGACAGTAGGCATGCACTGCACAAGTGTTGTATTTCAATCACATCAAAAAAAAAAGTGTCTTAAAAAGAGATTTCTCAATTACATGGAAGAAAGTCTATCTTAAAAAAAGATTTCTCATTCACATGGAAAAAATCTAAACATACATAAAAACACAACCCCCTATTTAAATTACAACACCCTCATGCACTTCTCCCAAATTCAATTTACGTCCAAGAGTTCAAGAGTTCAAGAGTTCATTTATTGTTCAACTTAAGAGAAAGATAAAAAAGTATGTTATCTTTTTTTTTTTTTTTTACATTTTTGATTTAGTTGTAAAAATAATTAGATTGGTTTTTTGTGTTCATATGTGGATCCTAATGTTTTTCTTTTTCTTGGTAGATGGAGTTAGATCCAAGGTGGAATTATGAAAATAGTAATGAGTGTGAGGTGGAGGAAGAAAATAGTGATAAGGATGAGATGGAGGAACAAGCTATAGAACAAAGAGATAAGCAGGTGGAAGGTAGACGAAAAAGAGATAACATCTTTTATTCTCTTGTTCACTTAGGTGCTTTAATATCTTCAAAATATATTTCAAAATATCTTAACAAATAAAAAAGAAGAGTTTCAAGACTTTCAGGTTGGCAATGGGTGTAAGAGACATTGGTAATTCCAAATGAAAGTTATAAATTATTTAGAATGGAACCACATGTTTTTACGAGATTATGTTCTTTGTTAGTTAATAATTATGGCCTAACATCAACAAGAGAAATATGTGTAGAAGAATCACTTGCAATGTTTCTTTGGACATGTGCACATAATCAATCTAATCAAAATGTGCAAAATCGTTTTAAACATTCGAGAGAAATGGTAAGTAGAAAATTTGGTAAGGTTCTTGATGCAATGGTGAGGCTTTCAAGTGACATTTTGAAACCACCTGATTATAATTTTACCGAAACTCCCAATAAGATTCGACAAGATAATAGGTTTTGGCCTCATTTTAAAGGAAGTATTGGTGCAATTGATGGTACGCATGTTAAAGCTATGATCCCCGAAGAAGACCTAATACCATTTATAGGTCGCAAAGGCATCTCCACTCAAAATGTGATGGTAGTTTGTAATTTTGACATGATATTTACATTTGTAGTTACAGGGTGGTTTGGATCTACTCATGATGCACGTGTTTTCACCCATACATCGGAAATCATAAGGATGTGTTTCCTCATCCTCCTAATGGTAATAATTTTCTATTTATTTTTTGTTATAGTTTTTAAGCACAATTCTTAATGAATTTTTAAGAAAATTTTTCGTATTTATTATCAATGATTTCTCTCTTATATTTTAGGTAAATATTATCTTATTGATGCTAGTTATCCTAATATAAATGGATATTTGGCACCTTATAAAGGAGAAAGGTATCACATTCTTGATTTTAGACATGGGAAGCCAACCAATCGGTTACCAAGTATTCAACCATGCTCATGCTTGTCTTAGAAATGTCATTGAATGATCTATTGGGTGTTGGAAAAATAGGTTTGAAATATTGTTTGGCATGCGAAGTTATTCATTTACAACACAGAAGAAAATAGTAGCTGCAACTATTGCACTTCATAATTATATTAGGCAACATGCAATCAGGGATAAAGAATTTGATAGGTGTGATCAAAACCTAAATTATATACTTGAAGTGCCTGGAGAAGAGAGCATAGATCAATGAATTTCTCAAAATAATTTTGTTAATACAATGAAAGATCGTAACATGATTTCACTTAGAGATTCCATAGCTCTATCCTTAATGCAAAATCAATCAAGATGATTATTTGACATAAATTTTAATTTTAATTGTCTTATTTATGTGACTTCAATGTAGTATATTTTATTTTTTAATATTAAAATATAAGCATTTATCTAGTATTTATGTTTTAAAATATGAATAATTAATTTTGATCATCAACCCTAAACTAATTATAAAAATAAAGTCATATAAAAATATAAAAAAATTTGGAGTGGGAGTGGTGATTAAATGTACCATATTTTATTTTTTAATATTAAAATATAAGCATTTATATAGCATTTATATTTTCAACTATGAATAATTAATTTTTAATCATCAACCTTAAACTAATTATAAAAATAAAGTCATATAAAAATATAAAAAAATTTAGAGTGGGAGTGGTGATTAAATATGAATAATTAATTTTTAATTGTCAACCTTAAACTAATTATAAAAATAAAGTCATACAAAAATATAAAAAAATTTGGAGTGGGAGTAGTGAGTAAATGTACTATATTTTATTTTTTAATATTAAAATATAAGCATTTATATAGCATTTATGTTTTAAAATATGAATAATTAATTTTTAATCATCAATCATAAACTAATTATAAAAATAAAATCATAAAAATATAAAAAAATTTAGAGTGGGAGTGATGATTAAATGTAGTATATTTTATTTTTTAATATCAAAATATAAGCATTTATATAACATTTATATTTTAAAATATGAATAATTAATTTTTAATCAACCTTAAATTAATTATAAAAATACAGTTATATAAAAATATAAAAAAAAAGTTAGAGTAATGATTAAAATAAAAATATCTATTTCAGTCATTTTAGCATTAAAAGATCTTTTATAAAAAATTTTACCAAGCAACTTTTAACTCTACAAGTACTTTTATAAAAAATTTTACCAAACACTCTCAGCTTCTCAAAAACAGCACTTTTACAACAGATTCTTTTTAACAGCACTTCTATCAAAAGGTCCAGCCACACCAAACGGGCTATAAGGCTATTGTAGCACCCTATATACTTTAGTGAATAGATTATAAATTAAAGTCCTTTATTTTAACATTTTAGGCACAAAATTGGCAAGATTTAGAGTATGTGAACTTTATGTGAAATCTTGAAATAGTTAGAAACTATCTAACTATATTAGCCAAATTTGGGACATGTGGCAACATGTCAACCAAGTCACCCATGGCTTCCTTTGGAAGATTTAGGAATAAAAAAAGAAGAAGAAGAAGAAGAAGAAGAAGAAAGAAAAAGACCATTCCCTTGCATCTTTTATCTTATTCCAGCTAGTCCTTTACACCTTTCCTTTTTTTTCTAGTCGAGTGTGATGTGTGAGGACGCACTCTTTAGTTGAAAATACTTTCAATTTTTGTTGTTTACCTCAACTTGGTGCTTTGATTTCCATAGGTAAGTATGAGTTTTAGCTATAGCTTTGGGTTAAAGTTTTGGGTAGATTATAGATTTACTATAATATACTAAAAATTAGTTTAAATTAGTGAGATTTGACCCTAAATCCTTAATTTGAGACTTATTAGGCATTAAAATTTTGTTAGAAATATATGATATTTTTGGAGCTTGTACGAGATAAAATCCATAATGAGTTTTATTTTTCATACTTGAACTTAGTGTAAATTTTATTGTTAAATATTGTTATTGTTGCTTTGTATCCTTTACATATTTTATGTGATGATCTTTTGGGTATTTGCATGATTAAATAAGAATCTATATAGTTAATTTGACTTTTCTTGGACTGTGTGAGAATTTAAAAGGGAATTGGTTTTTTTTCTCAATTAATTGTTCATGCACTAAACTTTAATTATTTTGAGTTGGAAATCTTGTGAAAAATGTGAGTTATACATGTGGATATTAATGTGAATATTTTTAAAATGCCACTGATTAAGTAAAATATTAAATGAAATAATATTCTTGTATTATTTTGAATGTGTTTTGAATTTGTTTGACATATGTATGTGTTTATGGCTCTGGAGTAAGTGGACATAAGTTTAAAGTTAGGGGTATTCAGTCAACCCACTGGGGTATTTAGTGGACCTCTGCGTAGTAGGGTGAATGCCATGATTAGCTCCAATACAAGTATTGCTAACACACATCAATGGACTCCATAACATTGTGCGATTTTTGTTTCATGCATTCTGCTTGTGACATCACATTTGTGAGTATATGGTTTTATGATATGAATTTGAGTTAAATGTCATTGGTTATTCCTTAACATGTTTGATTGTCTATGAACTAATTTGTGATATTAAATTATTATTTAAATAGTAAGATTTATAATATTATGTGGATTGGTTTAATTATTTATTATGCTCTTTGTGTGTGCGTAAGACCAAGGGTCCTAGTACCTAAGTTTTGTAACTTTAATTTAATACTTATTGGGCTTTAGCTCATGATTCCCACCCCCCCCCCATTTCAGATCAGTAGATTGGAGTAACAATCCCCAACTTGGGAGCTTTCAATATACGTCCCGTATGCTTATTGTACGTAGAAGTTAGGACCTCAATGCTTGCAAATCAATGTTTTACCAAAACAATGATTCTACTTTTATTATTTTGGAAAGTTTTTGAAAAGCAATTGCTCTCATGTATTTTTTGTGTAAATTGCTTTTATGTTTATAATATTTAAATTAATTAAAATGAACTTAGCCTAGTATAGTTTACAACCTTGAGTATTTTGATATTTTTCTTAAGATATTTTTCGTTAAATTAGTTTTTCATTACATGTAATTGATTTTCTTTTTACAAAGTTTTAAATTGATTTGAAAGCAGGTTTTTCTTTTAAAGAAACATTTTATATAGGAAGAGTTTTTACTTTCGCTGCAATCTTTTTCTATAGTTCTTATTTCAAGACTCCCCTAAGACT